TCTCTGCTTCTTTGCCTCTTTGTTACTGTCCATTGGAAGGACTCCAATCTGCGGGGGAAAAAACACACTCCAATCTAAACTGAAAAACCTAAATGCCAGGAAAAGGCACAATGTCTCTTTAAGAGTCAACAGTAAATTAACTTGCCCATAAGAGTGCAATAATTAGCAGTTAGTAGCTTATTAAAAGGATGGCAAAGGCCAAGCTGCCATCTGGGATCTCCAGTTTCTTGTGATTGTTATTATGTCAAGATGTGCAACTTGCATTAGCTTTCATGTCTCTGTGCTTGCCCTTACTTTACATGTAAATTTTAATGAAAGATACAGCACTTTAAAAATCAGATGTCCATCAAAAGTGCTATTAGTCTGCCTTTTACAAAGCATATGGCCTGTTTTGCTGCCTCTGCATCTCTACACACCACTGAATGCCTCAAATGAAGAAAACAGAGGAAGGAAAAAAAAGCCTTTCAATGATATCAATTAAATATTCTCTTTGGGCAGAGTGAAACCTGAGCCTCATCGAAAACAGAAGACTACAATACAGCCTAAGAAGACAATATTTTAGCTCCTGTTTACACACAACATGACCACAATGCCTTTAACTCTCACAGGAATCATTCTTCTTAATAAAAATGAAAGCCAATGAAGAATCAGCTGTTTATTCACATGGTAGAAAGACGCAGTTTTAAAATAAAGCAGAAAGAAAGCCTATAAGAAAAAATAAATTACCTATAAAACACAAAATATTTAACACATTATTAAATATTTTACACATACACGTTATTTGTAAACACACATGCTCATATGCACAGACAAAAAATAATTTACCAGAAACGTCCTATTTAATGTCTTTTGTCTGCCTTCATAAATATATTACAAAGAGGGGTAAAAAGTTGGATGTTTATAAATCTATTCCTTTAAGTTAGCTTCTATTCAACTTTTAAGTGACTTCATTCACCAAATTTCAGAAAATGTCATCACCTCTGGAATATAAAGAAATAGGATGAATGCCTTACAGAAATGTCCCCCAATATCTTACACTTGAAATTCATCAACTACCAATCATCTCTAATTAGACATAATAATTACATTAAAATATTTGTTTCTTCCTAAATAAAATATGAAACCAGCAGTAAAAATTTGCTTACAAAATTTTTTTCCAGAAGAATGACATCTACATTCAAGGGGCCTTGGTTCTATCAAAGAGGTTTTACTGATTGGGTATTTGCTAACCATAAAATAAAGTGCTTTATTTTTTAAACAGTCATTAAGAGGAAAGTAAAAACTGAAAGTCACCATCCTTATAATAATGCAGGAAAACAAACCCAATACCACACATATTTTAAAAGCACTAAGGAAAAGACTGTAAGTGTAGAAACCAAACCCATGCAATACTCACATTTTAAACCCAAATATTAAGATATTTTACAGGGCAAAGCAGAGCTTAAAAACCACTGCCAAGGCAGACAAGATGAATGTAGTGTTGTTTTTCCCCTTGTATAATTAGATATTTACAGAGCACAAATGATTTAATTTGTTACTGATGTTTCACTTCAACATTTGCATAAACTCTTGGCCACTCGGATGGACTTATTCACATCGCTCTGAAATCCTAATGGTATTACTGGTGAACGAGAACACAAAATTATTTTCCAGATCAGTAAGGTCCAGTCATTTCCTTCTATCTGAGTCCACAAATGCTATTTCCTTTTTTCTGTGCCATTACCTCCTGGTCAATATTATTGAACAATTGAAAGAAATAACAACCTCACACTGCTCACTGAGAGCAATGCTGAACATCACAAGACTTAAAAGACCTACTTGGGTTAAGGGCAGTTAGGACCAAGGGAGATGATCTGATTTTGCAATGCTGAGAACTACACGGGGAGTTTGCCAGATGCCATTTGTCTACACAATATGCATTTAAAAATGTCCCACCTATGAAATATGTGAGTCCTTTCTCATTTCTCTCTGAGAATGGAGAAAAAACCTGCTTCATGGCGCAAATGAGTGTGCAGCTGTGCAGTTTTTCATCCCAAGCACAGCTCCTGATGGAGGGAAGGAGCCCAGTGCCTCAGAGGAGAAGCAGCACTCTGCAGACTGCACGAGCGCTATGGAGGTGTCCTGTGCACACCCAGAAACCAGCCACACCTCGTTCTTTGTGTCAGAGGGGATGTTTGGGACTTTTCAGTTCTTTGGGTGAATCTTGGCCCGCTAAATTTAACATGAATTTTGCTATTGCCTTCAAGAAGACACAGGACTTCATTCACCAAAAATAGCAGAGTCCCACCAGGAACACAGCCAATTTCCTCTGGAGGCACAAACCTCAATAGAAGCCAGATCCAAACCAAGAGTAACGATTAAAAAAAACCCACTACATATATAAAGGAAGGGTGAAAGGTAGCAAAAAGGCAAATTATCATTTCCTTAAGAAAGGCTGTCAAGAGAACAAATGATATGGAAGAACGTGACTACACATTAACTCCAGTTCAACAGCAAATTAGAGTTGGATATTTATGATCTCCTTTGGTATCATTTACTTGTGGGGGAGTGTTAGGGAAATAAACTCAATATAATTGTTCCTTAATTGTCAATTTCTCTCCTGAAGAGAAGTTGTATTCAGCAATTCATGCCAAACTAAATAAAAGTCCTCCCTGCTCATCATACATGTATAGCTCATCTCTGCAACCAGTTCCATACGCCTAACAAAAACACAAACAATGCATATATATTCAGTTCAGGTTAAAATGCAATTGGTACCCAGGTGCTTTTCTATATCTCAACTACTCCAGCCATCAGCCATTACCCCAAAACACCTCCACTTCATCTTCTTCAGCTTTCCAGGAACTTATGAAAAATAAAATAAAATCTCCTGAACTTTTTAAAAAGGATAGATGCAGAAGAAGCCTATTTACTACAGTGGAAGCAACTAATGAAAGACTTGTTTCAAATGATAAATGTGAGGTAACAGATTGCCATACAGTGTGAAGAGGTTTTATGAAATCAAATACATCATATCCTTTGGCTACATACATGGCATGAGACAGAGTGGCTGCCAGTTTACTAAAAACTACAAGAATGCCAAAAAATATGAACCTTCCACGTACAATCACTAAGGCATCTGGTACCACCTTCTCTGTGAGCTGAAGGCCATGTGTGGGTTCAAAATTACACCGTTTGAGCCCTCTGAAGGGAATACCATTTTTCATACAGAGTGATGGTTCTCTGATGAAGTCACTTGCTATAACTAGAGCTAAAATATACACGTAGCTGGGAAGTGAAACAACATTTTCAGTCAATGACACAATAAATTAAGTTTCAGTGCATATGAATTAATTGTGGGCTATATATTATAATGCTCATTTCTACAGGCTCAACTGGGAGTTTTGCTTCGGAAAAGACTTTCAGTTTAGTCCTGCACAGACTGGTCTGCAGCACAAATGCCACCTGAGAAAAGGGAGCAACATGAGCTAACATCACACCATACAAGACTCGCCCTGATCTACGCTGACCCTTAAATCACACCAAGCCATATATCAGCAAACTCAATTATTGGCAGCTGTGTTGAGACACAGTAACATTTTGTAGGGTGTGCTTAGAACTTTAGATTCTCACACTTTTTACAGTGTACATATGTGATTATTATGTTCTGATGTTCACCTCTTGCTAAGAAGATAGCTCTGAGTACAGCTTATGTATTATCGTTCACCGCCCAACTTTGAATAAAATACAAAAGCTATGAAATTAACTGTTGGAATATTTTTTCAACCTCAAAACAGAACAAATAATATTGAGTACATGATGCACCCCATCACAGAGAATCCAACAATACCAAATAGTTATAAGAAGGTAGGGAATCAGAAAGAGGAATCCAACAAAGAGAAAGTGTTTAATATGCCATTGTGCTCCCTAGAATTCAGGTATTACAGGAGGAGTGATCGCTGGGCAGAGACTGCTTGTGCCTCAAAGGAAACTTATTATGAACAAATCCTCTGAGCTCTCCTATCCTCCCAAATTCATAGTAGTGCAATTAATCATTTCATCCCCCACTGTCTTATTGGCATAGACACACCCAACATCCTCCAATGTGTTCAAATCATGCTGATCAATAGATCAGATTCTTCAGCAGTGTATTTGTTGAAAAGGAGTAAACCTCAGCAAAATAAAACCTTTTAATCTCTCTATCTCATTGGAAAATAGGACAAAGAAATAGATTTTCCTCGAGCAGTGCTTATAATTTATCAATTAATCTTCACCTTTCCCTCCAGTCCAACTGGAGACCCACAGCAGGTTTGCAGCATTTTGCCTTTTTGACAGTTTTGATTAGGGATGGATGACTGCCCTCTGCATGCTAAAGATAGGTGTGAACTGCTGAAGAGCAAGCTGGAGCCCCAGAGCAGCCTTCCATGCCCTGTGCTGTACTGAGCTGCAGAGGAAATGGACCGCTCTGTTCAGCGGTGCTGATCACAGTGTTTCCTCTGCAGCTTTTTGCAACTCAATTTCTATTTGAAAAACACCTCTTCCCTAACAGAGAGGATGGGAAGCAGAGCTGGGGAGAGAAATGATAGCTCAAAAGACCTCCATCATTGAAGGGTACTGGACAAGCCCAGGTTCTGCTTCCACCAACACCAGTGCCAAAATTCCCAGCAGTGGCATCACTCCAGTGCAAGAGAGTTGGCAGTACCAGCTCACTGGCATCTCGCTCTGTCTTCAGCTGAACTGATGGTCCCTTTGCACCCCAGTGTCACCAGCTACAGACAACCTGACACTGCACAGCCCATACTTAGCGTGAACAGGGAGAAAGTAACATCTGTTAAGAAGGTCTCAAAGCATTCATCTTAATAAATATTTCTTCCATAATTCAATAAAAAAGATTGTTAAGAGACCTTTAGAAGTAAAGGCACTAAGTTCCAATATGAGCCACATTCATAAAAATACATTTTTTCCATTGACAAACAAAGATTTTACAAGCAATGAAGTCTTAGAAAGAACGCAATCTCTACCTTTACTTCTACCTACAGACAGGAAGGTGTGCGTCGATTTAAGAGGAGGAACAAGAGGGGTGTCCATCATGGAGGAGGCAAAAGAGAAGAGAAGGAGGAAGCATAAAAAACAGAAAATGTGTCACTGGCCATACTTAGAAAAACAAGAAAATGAGCACATTTATGTAGCAGCCAAACCCAACATAACACAATGTCAAGGGAAAAGCAAGAGACACACCACAACTAAAGCACAAAGCAAGGCTTAAACAACTGACAGTACAACCAGCAACTGCCTGCTTAAGCCTTTTGGCTTTAATTTGATTTTCTACTGAGAAATGCAAACCCTCATGCAATAGCACACCAGTGATATGCCTCATTCCACGTCAAATTCAAAACAGCAAGGGAAACAACAGAGTAGGACAGCAAAGAAATAAATCTCATGGTAATATATTTGCTAAACACATTTCACCTACCAGAGCTAATGTATTTGTATATAAAGTTGACATTGCATATTTACTCACACATATACATTTACATATTTTATATCCATCGTATTGTTATAGAGAGTAAATATTTATCAAAAGGGAGTATCCGTGAGTTGGTTGGCAAGAAAAGAGAAGCCACTGTTCCCTGATGTGTCACGGATAAATAAGGGTGGCTAAAGTTGCCAGAAGCCAATATTTTCCACATTTTTTTTGCCAGCCAAGAAAGGGCTGATGACAGTCACACAGGCCAGAATAGGTCATGCATGTCTTCATGAGCCAGCTGGGTTGCAACTTGCAATTTAAATGGCCAAGTGCATCTGCTTATATAATCCAGTGCTAAATCACAGACTACTACAAAGATACATTCAGTGTTACTGAGATTGAAAGTGGCCATGAAAGTTCACTGTCCTGATCACTCCCAACATGCCATCATCCTTCCTCTGCCAACGGCTTGCGATACTTAGCTGCATCCTGTGCAACTAGGACATGCTGAAGGGACCTATCTGCGGGATGCTCCTTCACCAAGCATGACCTTCGAGCCATCAGCCCGGGGAACCATAAGTGGGGTTACAGAAGCAGCTCAGCGCTTCCCAGAGCTTAGCCAGATGCTCCACGTGCCAAGCACCATGGTCTTGACATGTACTCATAAAAAGCCCTGCTTTCCCACCACAAAGGGATGCTAAGCAGTACAGAAACTGAAGAGTGAGCCGCAACTTCACCTCTGATTGTTTCCTAAGCTTTCACAACCTCAGAGCAGACATCTGCCTTGAACTACAGAAGAAAAACCGATTATGTCCTAAGCCAGTCTACATTTTACTGAGATATATAGAAACTATGTCTCTTTTATTCAAGTACCTAATTACTCTTGAGACTTCACAGGCTTCACTCTGGACTGCCTAACCTCAGATACGTGTTCACTTAATGGCAAAACCACTATTGTGTACACCTAGTCTAGGAAAGACTCACCAGGCTTAAGAGTCAAAACTCGGATTTTCTCCCCACAAACAGTTGGTCTGGTCTTCCTAGCGCACCACGTGCACACACCTTGCATTAAGTCTTCAACCATTTCACTCTTGCATTCGCAAGACTGGAATACATCACCAGTGCTGCTAACCCTTCCCCGAGGACCCATGTCAGCAAGACAGTAACACTGTCAGAGGAAAACAGAATCAGTCCTCTCCCCACTTCCCCTCTCCTCACCAGCTTCTTGCTTCACACCTCCACAGTGCAAAATGGGACTAATGATCTCATCATGTCACAGCCAATAGATCTGTAACACAATCCAAGCTGAGATATTAAAATGTGAACTCTGATACAGGCCTAGATCCCATTTGTAGCCTAACCTGGGGTTAGCCCTGTTCTTTTTCTAAACCACTTTGCTGTGTGCATATTTGAATATTTTAAATTGCAGACACAGGACTTACAGGCCATTATATGCAATTTTCCTCAGGATTCATAATGAGTTAGGATCATGCCATGAGGGCTATTAACATATTTTTTGTAATAATTGCACTCTTAAATGTAAAGACCAACATCGAGGTCTACATTTGCCAGGCAGAAGCGGGAGTCATTACAGCTGGCACAATAAGAAAGAAATTGCAAGATAAAATAGTTGGTGGGCTGCATGGAAGGGGGAGGCATACCTCTTTACTGTCCATGGAATCGTTTCATGCTTCCTCTTGGGCACCCAGTCCCAGGCTGACAAGTAGCCACGGCTCATGGGACACAGAGGCAAAAATGCAAATGGCTTGACTGGCACGCAGTAGGCTTAGCTGCTTTTGTCATGCAAAGCTCAGCTCAGAAAAGCAGCAGGGACAAAACTCTTTCATCATCAGTGATTGAAACAAAGAGAAAGTCAAAGGACTTACCTTGTTCACCCATCATCAGGTGTGAGAGGCCTTTGAGAGAGAGAGAAAGAGAAAGAGGAAGTAAGAAAAAGAGAACAAAACAGAAAAAGAAGCAGCATTATCCATGCACTCAGGTTGCAGTCCAATGCCTCTCAGGATTGGAGCTCGCATACTTGAACTAGACCAAGCATGGCTGTAGCACACAGGGCACACACATATGCAGGCGCTGCTTTCCACCCTGAGCAGGAAAGCGTCTGTCACGGGTAGAAAAAAACTTGCTGGTAGTTGCAGAACTGTGTTTGAGGTTCATCATATCCCTTGGGGAGTGACTCTAGAAGCACTGCAGACCGGTGTAGCTAAATGGGCTAGGAAAGCCAAGGTCTGCAATAGGACTTTGCAGGGAGCATTTGCTCCTCTGTAGAGCTATAGAAATAACTTCTCCTCAGCTAAAGATTTAAAATTCAAGGCTGCAGTGGTCAGTGAAAGGGAGGCCATGATTCCACCACACCTGCTTCAGAGGAAACATCTGGACTAAATGCATACGTGCGCGCGCACACACACAAAGCTATCCTCATTCTCGAACATGGTGGCTTCAGAATGTATTTTTAGGAGTCGATCAACACTGCTCACACTTACTAATTAGATACCAGTACACCAGACCTGGCAAGGACTAAAAAAATTACCTGCAATCTATTTTTAATACTACTCCATTTCCCTTCTGGGAAGATTCAACTACAGAGGGCAGCGTGTTACCTCATGGCTCTATAGCCGAAGCTACTCTTTGGTTTCATAATTCATAATTTCATAATTTTAGCTCTATAGCTAAAGCTACCCTTTGGTTCATAATTCAAGGTAAAGCCAGAAAGCAGCATAGCTCCCCACAAAAGTGCCAGACACTGTCAGCTCCATAGATGGGCCTGTGGTGGTCACTTGGGCTGCTCCAGTCTCTGTCTGATAACTCTTTCTGGCATAAACCTTGTTTGTTTCAATTAAAATCCATATCTAGCCCCAATTTTCAAATAGGTTTACTGTACAGCTGTATTCATACAAATATCACTTTTATATATATATTCATGCCCAATCCATTAAGCATCAACTGACCCATTAGTTAATTTGGTGACACATGATTTCACAGAACTAATGTATACAAAAATCAAGTCCTACCCACTCAAGCCATGAGTGACCCCTTTTCTACTTGGATCCCTGACCTTCTTCCCTTAGCTTGATTCCTTCTCCACATCTCCTACACCTCACAGCACTTAGTATGGCAGGGATTTTGATACACACACACACACACACACACACCCTATTTTAACTCAGTTTATTAATCAAACAGGGCTGTGACTTTTTAATTTCACGGAGACTGAGAGGTCAAATGAATTTATTAGAATGAGAATTTTCAACAAGCAGCATGCTGAGTTTGAATTTGTTTATTTCTCTCTTTTATATTTTTCCTTTGTGTCTGCTGGAGAAATCTAAAATCCAGATCATCCCAAGAATATGTTCACCCACAGAGAACTCCAAGCCAGATAAGGGGATTAATAACTGTACAGTCTAAGGAATGCAAATATCTTAATGTTCTTGAAGATTATTGTGGATTTAGAAAAATAATCAGAAACACAACATAGGTTTAGATTTTTTTAGGTTTTTTAGCTATAAATAAACATAGCAGATTTTATACTGTAGGACATATTTCTTGTTTAAATTACAAGATATAATTTCACTGAATCATTTTGCTCTGCTAGTAGAGCAGGTTGAATTTGTGTCCCTGTTTATGGCCACTGACCCCATCATTCTTAATAAGCAAATCTTAGGTCTGTCCAAATGGGCACTTGAAAGTCACTGTAAAAGGCACTGTAAAAGACAAGAAGACAAAAGTATAATTGTTAGGACCTACAAAGCACAGAGACTCTGTAGCAATGGTGAAAAAGGAGAAAAGACAAGAATGTGGCAGTATGACGTGCAGCTGAAGCTGGCAAACAGGGAGGGGACATCAGACCCAGAGCAGAGCTAGGGGTCCCAAGCCCTCAGCCCTTGTACACCACAGGGAAGGAAAGCCATGGCTAAGAGGCACAGCACCAGCAGATGCAGCTGCTGGGGATGGCAGGGGCCTCATCCGCTTGGGGAGACGGGACACTGACAAAGAGAAACCTCCAGAGAAGGTTCAAAGCAAGAGCCTGCATTAAAAACCCTGAATCGCACCGTAAGAAGACGCCTTCTCTCTCCACAAGCCACAGAGGACCTACAAAAATGTCAGGAATGTCAACACCCCTTTTGTCTTTACCCCCAGAAGACCAATGCTGTGTGCCCTATCTGTCATGCTGTCCTGGTTCAAGGCATCAGCCAGGTGCAGCCCAGAGCCCTTTGCCTGCAGTCCAGGAGCAAGCGCACCCCCCAAATGTACCCCTCATTCTGGTCCCCGGTTTGGCCTTGGTTCAAATGCCTGCAACTCTGCCTTCTGACTCTTTATGCTTTTTGACAAATGTGAAATAAAACAGCCGTTGCGGTATTGTATGTACCTCTTGATCTTCTAGTTTCAACTGGACAGTAGAAGTAGGGAGATTCATGAAAAATAATAATACCCTCCACCCCCCACAAATGCTACTCTTTCCTTTTTAAAATAGGAAGAAAAAGGAAGGTGGACTTGGAGATGCAGCAAAAAAACCGTATTACCTCGTAAGTTGTCCATCGACAGAGAACCTCATTTTAACAAAGAGAACACTAACAGAATTCCAGATTCATTGTTAGATAGAATAATAATATAAATAATGAAATAACATATCAGCTTTTCTCATCTGAAAATTTTCCTCCCTTGCAATTTAAAGTAGGAGTGAAAATGAGTGTATTTATCTCCAACAAAACATCATTAACAACCAAGACTCTCAACCATTGAGATCTAAAATCTGTGACATTTGCAGCATGTGTAACAAAGGCTCCAAATTAGTCCCGGTAAAATCAACATGGAAAACGTGAACTGACATCATTGTCTCACCTTTACATCAGTTTCAAGATATGACAAGACACTAAAACAATTTTCAAATCATAAAAGTCAAAGTCATCTCAAGGTCACATGGTGTAGCACTTGCTATTGGACTACAGTAATCTAACAGGGCATCCAACAAACCAACGCAAGAGGTGTAAGAATTGTTCAGACCTGCAAACTAGATCAGATTCTGCCAGAACAGGGCGGACACCTATCACCGTGCTATTTGGGCATCAACCATAAAGGCAGGCAAAGCTTTCAGCAGGCTCAGGATGCTTAATGAACTCATCAGGTCCCAAAGCACATTATTCACATGTACTACCATTGCTTGTGCCAATAGCCATCCCATTCCAGGGAAACCCTGTAAGAAAATCTGAGTTTCCACCTAAACACAGGTGAAATGTGCTTTCCTTTTAATATTAAATTTGTTCATCAAGAAACCCTGATTGAAGCCTCAGAACTGCAAACTCAGCCAGTGTAGAACTGGGAAAAGCTTGACACAAACCTGCATAAGCTGTAATGGTCAAGGGGTTGTGTGCTCTTCCTAAACCAATCTAGTCATTCTTATAGTAATCTACTGGCTGGACACAACTGTTGCTGAGCAAAAATGGTGCGTAGCAAGTGCTCTGGAAAAGGTTTAGGAAAACCACAGAATAAATAGCTTATCTCCCTGCAAAAAATGTCAAAGTCAGGAATCTGGTGACTTACTGTTCCTGAACTTCAAACATGAGTGAGAGTAAGGACAAGCACATGGCTTCGGAAGACGGCTCTCAACAGGTTTCTTAGATAATGATAAGCATCTGCTTGTGTTCAGCCTCTGGAGCCCCAGCTTCTTCAGACTTCTGGCAGTAATGTGAAGAGAATGTGGCCTGCTTCTTCAGAACATCGGTTATCAAAATAGTATGTCCATTCCTGAGAGCAGACGGACATAGAAACTCGGTTCTCTGGCCATGATTTATGCCTGTCCCAACTGACTCTTCCTATTTAGGTCTGCGAGTTATTTTGATATTTCTTTAACCTACAACCAAATCAGTATAATTTTCTTAAAGGTTAATATTAATCACCCTTTATCTCAAAGTAACATTTCAATTTTTTAAAAATTGTAAACCATCTGCTTTCTATATCAAAATAGTAAAATTAAGTGGCTCTAATTGTACAAAGTATCAAGGGCCAACACTGGATTCTTATGAAGCCAGAAGGACATTTTAAAAAGCAGCTTCAGAATACAATGATATGAAAGAGCAATGCAGTTAAACAGCAGTCCTCATCTACAAGGATTTACTCGGGGCAATTTTCAAGGTGGAGGAGAAAATGAAGGAAACCTTGGAGGCAGTTTGACGTCGCTCCCACTGCCCCTCCCCCCAGCACCACATTTGGGCACTTAGCACTCAAAATGGGAAAAAAAAGCCACAAAAACTAAGAAAGTTATGAGAGCACAAAACACAGCTGAGAGTGACAACTGATTGCAGCAACAAAGGAAGATGGACTCCTTCATCTAGTTAATTATAGCTTGTCCCGTATTACTGGCCCAATGCTCTGGGGGTGTGCACGTGTGCGTGGGTGTGCGTGCACTGCTGAATTGCTCTGTTAAGGCAGGCTGCCTCAGTATTTCCCTTTTAATGATGCTGCCAGATGATTAGCCCAAAACCTCTTAATGAATGGGAAGAGAGACTGCCAGGCAGCAGCCTCGCTCTCCCCAGGGGCAGGCTTGCCCACAGAGGATCCTTTCCTGGGTATGAGGCTTCGTGACCCATTCAAACAATAGGAGGGCCAGCTGCAGTGTATGTCTGAGGCAGGGCACCGTGCCCCCTGGTCCAGGATATACATGCAAATCCTTTACGGCAGAGCTGAAGAAAGAAATAATGCAAACCAGGGATTCTTCCAAAAATAAAATGACAACTACTATAGAGAAGAGCATTCTGATAAGTGATGGAGTCTGCTGTTTCACCCTCAGCAAGTTTGCAGATGACACCCAGCTGAGCGGCGTAGTTGACATGCCTGAAGGATGAGATGCCACCCAGAGGGACCTGGACAAGCTTGAGAAGTGGGCCAGTGTGAACCTCATGAG